GAGTAGTTTAACCGAGAGGGGAGCAGAATATTGGGCAGTCGCTGGAGGAGAGTGTAGGTGAAAAGGAGTGTATTGTGCACTCTCTCTAACAGTGAAGATCCTCTTCAGGGTGGGCCCCTTAAATGGGATATTCACGTCCTCAAAGACCTTGTTCTCTCCCTCTGTTCACTCTGCACTCTCAGGCTGGCGTCAGATGGCTACAGCAATTTGAGAAATCACTACAGGTAGAGGAAGAAGACAGCCAGTCTGTTTTCATGGTTTCCTCTTGGGAGTGAGGGTCGTTTTCTCTAAAGATGTGTGTGCTCACGAATGTGAAGAGAAACCATCTCACTGCTGCCATAGTACAGGGTGTCTCATGTCTGTCCACTCTTTAAGTACATTTAACATTTCCTTAGTAGCTAGACTGCACAGTTTGGGGTTAAGGTTTTGTGAAAGGGCTCTGACTGCCTTTCTGGGCTGCAGTCCTGCTGGGCCACTTGTCCCTTCTTTAATTGCCTTGCTTAGGCTCTGCTCAAGCTGTTCTCTTAGTCCTGAATTCCTTCATCCCAATGGGTCCTCCTTTGTGAAAGTTTTCCATATTGTCTCATCCAAACTCAACCACCTTCCTCCTGCTCTGGCTGCAACTGGCTTGTAGCATTCAGTCCTGTTTTGGTGGTCTCATTATTTATCTGTGAGTCTTTAACTAGGTGGTAAGTCCTGGGGAGGAGAGCCTCAGGGCTTTGGAGGTGGTAGGTGCCCAGGAAAATCAGTTGAGTGATGTCCTGAGTATGGTCACCTCTCCCAGCCACTCATTTCATTCTTGTTCCTATTTCCCCTTGGTTCCCACAAATTTTTCCTTTTCTCTGTCTAGTCGTTTGTGAGGTATCCCAGCTCCCCATCCCCTGCAAGATGCTTTATGTCGTTTAGAACCTTTGCGACACATGGGTCATTCATTTGCTTTCTTCCGCATCACAGATTTTACGGAACTGTTGGATTTTGTCAGCATTCTTCTATCTCCCACCCCAGGCTTGGCTTCTGACTTGTTCCATTGTTCTGGAAACTGGAGCTATTTCCTCTATTTCTACTGGCAACTGCTGATCTTTCTTGTCACTAGCTAAAATGATTCTAACACCCAGTTCCAACATGGGATGTGTGTGGTTCCTGCCACATTAAGTAATTCTCCAACATCAGATGGGTGTTCTATAATTCAACTCAATTCTGACACTATCTTCCTAGAGATAGCATCAGATCCCGAAGATTAAGGATTCAGTCTCACAAGACTGTGCCCCCCACCTCTCCACTTCAG